GCGTCGCCGTGTTTTACTTCAACATGACGGCGGAGAGGAAAGCCGAGCGACATCGACGTCGACAGCAGCAAACCTTGTGGAATATAAAACGGGCTCAGATGTTGTCGAAATCTCATTCCTCTCACGCCTTCTTGTAAGTACTATGTACATTTTACTCTTCGTTGGTAGCTCTGCTGCAAGAATTCACGAATGTGAGACAGATGTCCCCTCTCGAATGGAAGAAAAAAGCATTCAACCAAACTGGAAAATCTGAACTTCCTTCATACTGTGTAAATTATTGTTTCCCAACCTGTTTGGGCCCACGGACTGGAAACTTTCCATAATTTTTTGCAGACTCAGAAAAGGTTTGCTTGAAATACTATGGCAGGCATTTTAAAAGTTTCTGATTTTTTTAAAAATTATGAACCAATGAAGCAGTTATATAGTGGAACGTCTTCAAAAAATTAGAAAGGCTGGCTTGAAGAAAGGTTTCAAAAAATTGTCTGAAGTGTTACTAGGAGAAAAGCCAGCTTCTATATTTCTCATCAGGTAATTACAACTGCCATTGTCTTTCCAAAATTTCAGATAAAGATAACAGACTTCATTGCTAATCTTGCTAATTTATTATGCTGCAGAAAATTTCCTGCAGACCAAGCAGCAAAAAATTCTGCGGACCATCGCACTGGTCCGCGGACCACTGGTTGGGTAACACTGGTATAAATCATTCAGGCAAATCGTTGACGCCTGAAGAATGAGAAATTTAATTCGGCCCCACACAATTACTTTACAGTGCTGGTAAAAAAAAAGTAAAACCTATTTTTAATCCATACTCTCCCGGTTTTTACCATTTTCTAAAGAAATGTCAAAGTATCGTCGCTTATTCGACCGAGTAAAAAGTAATCCTGTGCAGAAATTTGAAAACAATTGTCCTCAGTGTAGCTTTGTACAGTATATTAAATTATTTTCTAAACCGATTTTATGCCGTTTCGTGATAAAAATGTGTTCGTTTATCACTGCTCATGGATAAAATGGAAGGCTGGAAATGGCGGCCCATTGACCAGATTCAAGATCTTTGGAACCTTTCTGAGACTCGACTATGAATTGAAAATAGTTCCTCATTAAATTTCTCATGAAAAAATGCAATCACTTACCCTTAATATACCAAAAATAGTAATTGAAGAAAAACCGTATTCATGTGAGTGTATGAGACTATCAACAATCGAATCAATCCCAATTTCGTTTTCTTCACCAGGAAGCCATCTTCCCCGAAAATTGCGCCACTGAAGCTAAGTCCGACAGTTCCAGCCATGCCAACTTTGAACCAAGAACGTCAGCCATTGCTGGATAGTGGCTGTCACGAATCGTCAGCCACTTCGACGAGCAACGAACAAACCAGTGAATCCGACGAGGATGATGACCCAGGAGAGGGTCCCAAAAAGCTTCAAAAGAGTACTTTCTTGATAGGCGACGATGACGATTTTCGAGAAGTTTGCGTAGCTTCTGTCGAGTCCATGGGAAATGTCACTCATGCTGCTTACCAAAAAGGTAATTATTACATTTATTAACTTACGATGGTGGAAGCATCCGACTGGAATTTTTTTGTTTTGTTTCCAAAAATTAATCGCACGCAGAATTCTTGAGCATACACGCCATCCCGCTGCTGTTTATGCAAGTTACGATTATGACCTGCCAAACCATGATTGAGGTACGTGTCCTTTTTTTATTCCTTTTTTTAAAGTTTGCCGGGTAGAAACAGTGGATAAAGCAGGTTTAAAATTACACCTTTCAATCTGATTTTGACGTCGTTCTTGACGCGATATTGCCTCGTGAGTGCCTGCATAATACAGGCAGTTATGCATAGATTTTACTGAGAGCGCTGAACTTTCTTGGCGCAATTTTTTTTCTTGCCGGATTTCTTTTTCTCCCACATTTCCTCTGTCGAATGCAGCTTTTTCGGGCAAGAGGAACCTGTCAGATTTGAGAAGAAACTTCTGGAACATTTTGGGCATTTGATTTTTTTTTTCAAATCAAAGTGCACGTGCCGATATTGAAATTTTTAGATTTGTTTTACTGCATGAATTATTATACGATTCAGTCGCCCGCAAAAATCCGGATAAGGGTGGAGCGAAACTGAATTTAACAATTTATTATTTAATATTATTACTCAAATAATTTCTGAAGCATTTAAAAGAGTTGTTCGGGAAGTTCATGCCACGCTTTTCGAATTTATTTATTGATACATTGAATTGACTATGTGATAAAAAAAATTTGAAGAAATTCTCTGGAATTCCACTTGCATTGTGCAAAATTTTAAATTCATGCAAGGTTGACTCAATTTCTTGTTTCCATGTGGCATGCTGATTTAAATGGCTTTTGGTTTTTTGTGGAGGATGAACCAAAATAAGTTTGCATCATCTAATAAGCTGTATAATTTTTACCTTTATGTACATTACACTGAGTTTTCTTTTCCATATTATCGTAAAACAGTGATTTTCTAGGCTTCTTGGCAGAGAAACCAGCTGCAAAAACATAAATGTGTGCGGACTGCTTTTGTGTTAGGATTTTTCCATAATGCTTCCGATGTGTTCATCCCTATTTTCTTGCTCCTGTTTCGTCTTCCAGACTGTGATACCACCTATTATGCAATGTTATTTCAAATACGGCTCCAAAGAAAACTCCTTCACATTCATGGGCATCGGGGCAGAAGAATTAGCCGTACTGGCCGTCGTACTTATGGTCTGCGGGGTCTTCAGTCCCTCTCAAAGAATCGCCCCCCGGAACATGCTGATTTTAAGCGCCGTTCTGATCCTCCTCGGGATGGTAGGACTGGTGTACACGAGTGAGGCCATAGTTGCTGCTGGCTCAAAAGGTGAAAACATCATTTGAAAAACCATGTACTGCACAGTAGTGTAGTAAAATCTCAAAAGCCGCCACCATTTGTTTGTGAGGTTCTTGGCAGTTTAACGGGGTTGGCCGTTCGAAGGGGGTTGATGGTTTCATCAAAAAAAGGTAAGAGAACATTAAAATCGAATATGATGGGAAATATTATTCTTATTGTTCTAGAAAACAACGAAAATAACCATGAATTAAATCTAAATTAAATCTAGCTAATGTTCCAAAAAAAGTAAATATTATACAGTACTATGTTTGTGTTAGTGTTTTTTTTTATTGGAGACCTCTCACGGTAACTTGAATCTCGTTGGCGGGCTATTGAAGACAAGAATTAATTGCCATGAGGATATTTGAGTCATCAATAATTTTGGGGTCCACCAATGAAGCAGCTTTAGTGGAATGTCTTTAAAAATTATAAAGTTGGACTTGAAGAATAAGGTGGTTTGAAGGTGGTTTCTCAGAATAAAAAATTCAAATAATTTATGTCAGCCAGTGAAAATTTGTCTACTGCGTGATTAAAGGAGAAAAGGCAACTTTTATTTTCATCACATAATTTCAACTGCCGTGGTCATTTGGCACAATTTGTTTTTCGAAAAAAATTGGCGGTTGCCAAGGGGTGGCGGCTTATCGGGGGGCGTCTTAACGGGTTTAACTAAATGAAATTATTGATTTTTTTAATGAAAAAGGTGTGAGGAATTGTCCCTCTACCCCGGAAAGCCAGTCGTACTTCGTGCATTATTTGCAGAGCAATTTCTTGGTGTTCATGGGAATCCCCATCGGCGCCGTCATGTCCGTGTCTCTTCTTGCTCAATTGGTTGATTATCAAGTACAAGGTATGCTGATTTATTTTTATATCCAATATTTCGAAAAAAAAGGTATTTCCTGATACTTGAATTCAACTTGACGAAGAATTGTTCCTTGCATGCCCGAATATATACTTGCGTATTGAATTGTAAGTGGTGGATGGATGGCTGAACACGTTTTGCTCAAATCTGGGATTGCCGAACTTTCTATAATCAGATCATTAATTTTTGCATTGTAGGAATAATCTCGATTTCTTTTCAGCTTTCGTATGTGAACCACCTCTTTTCACCTGCTCATCAGATCTCTCCACTAAATTAGTTTAAGAAATTCTGCACACATTTTTAGCTTTAGATTACGTAGATTTTTTGGTTACAAACGCGTGCAATTTTGGTCATGTTTTTATATTCCCAAGGCTATTAGGCTTTTCCATACAGTACAGTATATGCATATTTTTCTATTAGGATTATTTGAATAAAATGTCTTTCATAAGGATTTTCAGGATTACTAATCTCACTCCGAAGGTATTTTTATGACCAGTTTGTAAGCATTTATTGCTGACAAATGTCCCACTACATGTGTATATGTCTCGCAGATATGCTTCTTCCCCGATAAAAACCTCTGATGCGAGAGTGGCAAACCGGAGGCTGATTTGAGAAACCATGTTCACAACCATGCTTCTATATTTTGTAGATATGGAAAAAATAAGTAATACAGTACTAGTAAGTACACTGTCATTCTCTTTGGCGGAATTGATAGGGATGGGCCAGGGTTTGAGCAGGTTGTCGTGCTCGATTGGGATGATTTTAGGCCCTCTTTGGGGAGGAGCGCTGATGTTCCAGCCAAAACTTTTGTATGGAGGTGCTATCATCATGGTAATGGTTGAACTGGTGAGCGATTCCATATTTAATTTGTTTTCTGTCGGTTGAAAAAAAGTGGTTCGAAATGTACCCGTTTTTACTCGAGTACCTAGCGCACCTTTTTTCTTGAATTTGACTGAGAAAAACTGGGGTGCGCAACATACTTGGGTGTATATTTTTCAATAAGTTTTAGAAGCTTAGGTGAGCATTATACTTGATTCTAATGGGAAATTTCGAATCAGGCTTAACAGAGAATCTTCTTATAATGAAAAAAGGTTGAAAAGTTTGTCGAATACGTTTTCAATTGATGCCTAAATTCCAATTTAGGGTGTTTTCGAATTAGAAATATTGTAATGTTGCAGTCACTAAAAATGGGTTGCGCGTCTTACCTGTTAAGATTTTATCAAAATATTCTCAAAAAAAAAGAACCCCGGTGCGTTTTACCCGAGTAAATACAGTAGCTGGTGGATAACTTGGAGATTTTCTTTTTTAATCATTACAGATTATGCTGTTGTCTTCTTACCATGCCCTGAAGCCCAAGGACTGATCACTCAAACCCCATCAGTCAAGTCAAACAATGATCAGAGGGTGTCAACCCGAATCAAAACTCGTCCTACAAAGTGTAACAGTTGTTTTTATTTGTTAAGACGGATTGATTATTGTGCAACTCCGAATGGAATAAAGTGTTTTTGGAACGAATTTTACGTTAATCCCTTTTAAAGAATACTCACACGTTAAGCCTTATGAAAGTACTGCAGGTTCAGAAGAGAAACTCATTTCGGAACGAAAATGTCTGATAATGGGAGGATCTGTTCTATGGAGATCAGCTTTGCTGTTGTCCAAAAGGTCAGTAATTTAGTCAAGAAGGTCAGATGAGAATGGAATCTGCGCGGAAAGAAGCATTTGATTGTTTTGTGATTAATGAAACTCATTTGAATTTGAGAGCGTTTAATTTAATTTCACATTCCAAAGTATGGTAACATTTATTTAAGTAGATACTGCTGGTTCGTCTTTTCAAGCAGAACTGGCGACAATCGTTGAGATTTACATTTTAAGCATTATTTGAAGTATTTTCTGTTTATATTGAGGATATTGAAATTACCTAAAGAAAACACCCCAAAAAGAAAAGTCAAACAATGATCAGAGGGTGTCAACCCGAATCAAAACTCGTCCTACAAAGTGTAACAGTTGTTTTTATTTGTTAAGACGGATTGATTATTGTGCAACTCCGAATGGAATAAAGTGTTTTTGGATCGAATTTTTACGTTAATCCCTTTTAAAGAATACTCACAAGTTAAGCCTTATGAAAGTACTGCAGGTTCAGAAGAGAAACTCATTTCGGAACGAAAATGTCTGATAATGGGAGGATCTGTTCTATGGAGATCAGCTTTGCTGTTGTCCAAAAGGTCAGTAATTTAATCAAGAAGGTCAGATGAGAATGGGATCTGCGCGGAAAGATGCATTTGATTGTTTTGTGATTAATGAAACTCAATTGAATTTGAGAGCGTTTAATTTAATTTCACATTCCAAAGTATGGTATAATTTATTGAAGTAGATGCTGCTGGTTCGTCTTTTCAAGCAGAACTGGCGACAATCGTTGAGATTTACATTTTAAGCATTATTTGAAGTATTTTCTGTTTATATTGAGGATATTGAAATTACCTAAAGAAAACACCCCAAAAAGAAATTAAAAAGATGCATAATAAATCGACTAAATCGGTTTAACACGTATAATCTAAACCAGTCAACCGTACTTAACTACGCAAACGATGGAAGAAAAAAGGATTTTCTTATTCACTCTGAGATTTTTTCAAGGCATAATATAGCTCCCCTAAATTAGAGCATTGCAGCGATTTTATTTACAATTCAGGGAATTGGCGCTTTAAGATTGTGCAAAATCAACGGGATGGGCATTTTTCTTGATTTACGTAAAGAGATCTTCATTTTTCCAATTCCCTATACTTTTCGGGGAAATAGACCCCAGAAATCCAGCAGGTGCTCAACTTCATTGCTGATCCCGAGACGATGGAAATTGCGACCTATGAGACGACCCGACCTGGTGGTAGAAAATGAATGGGTCACAGGATCTCCGGGGGTTTTCCGGATCCAAGATAAATCCTTGGGTCCGACACGTCGTTACTTGGTCAACAGGTGTGGCGCAGTATTGATTTTGTTTTCGTTAACAATTAATAGCTATGGCGTGTTTTGGGGTCAGTCGATGCTAAATTCTGCTTTCACGTCGAGTCAAGCCAATCAAAAAAAAAAAAAAAAAGCTGGCAACACGTTTCCCTTCTGTATAGGCATATATTGTATGCATCAATTCTTCCTTGACGCAATTGCCTTGTCAAATGGCGACTATGGTTTATGCACATTTGCCCTCTTTCTGTGGATGCAAATAACTCCGATATGCTGTTTAATTATCGATCGCACTTCGTCGAGCTCTTGACTGAGTTGTTCTTGAAGGATTTTTGCGTTTAAAATTTTATAGAGCATTTCAACGAAGAAAAAAAGTTTCCATGTCTCTGAGCTAGAAACGTTCAATTTTGCAATAGGTTAGGCAATTAACCTCGGCTGCATAAATAAAATTTCTTGATTCAAATGATTAAAATTTTTCCTCTGCTGAACAAGGCAAAAAATTGTTGAATTTTGGACATGTGAATAACTGAAAAAATAGGGTTTTGACGATAGCAGTTCATGCAAATATACGCTCTTTTCCCGGGGATGCAAATAATAAATCCAGTATCCTTCGAAATTTTAGATCATACATTTTAAAGCTCCTGATGGTGAAGATTTGGTAGAAGAATTTTTGCATTGATGTAGAGCATTTAAGCAAATAAAATAAATATTTCCCGCATTTTGAGGCTGAAAGTTAAATTCTGTAATTTTTATGCAAAACCTCGCAGTTATTTGCATAACCTCATCGTGCAATTTTTCGACGAAGTTATGTAAATAACTGCGGTAAAATATACTGTTTAAAGAGGAACTGTTTCATTCTGGCATCAATAATCCATTCCCATGCATAAGCTCACCGTGTCCCGAAATTTCTACCGATGATATCGAAAATTTTAAAACAAGTACTTCAACAAAATTAGAATGTACAAATATTTTGTCTGTCTGGTGATTCTGATTATAAGAATGTAGAACTTCCAAATAATTTCCTCTGAATACGGACGTGAATACTGTGTTTGTAGACGTCCAATCACGAATTTCATCCTTCGACTGCTGGAAAACGTTCCAATTGTTGGTCGAGTCGCTCGCGCTGCTCTACAAGTCGACTCTTTGAGAAAACTCAAGCCCGGTGATCTGTATGAAGTCATGATTGATATGAACGGGTTCAAAAGCAAAGACATTCGAATCGCAGTGAAGGGACACGTGGTCAGTGTTCAGGGCAAATACGACCACGTGAGCCAAGATGACAAAATGGCGCATGCAATCGACAGAGAATTCACTTTTCCAGAAATGGCTGACACTGCGTTCCT